TAAGTAGTTTGTATTTTTCATTATTATAAAGGTTTTTGTATTTTCCAATGAATTAAAAACAAAACGATATTGATAAAGCTATTAGCAGTAAATAGCGAGACGTCAGTAAAAACAATATCGTTTTGTTTTTCATTCATTGGGAAATACAAAAAAGTTTATTATAATGAATATCATACACTCAAAGCCCAAATTTTTTCAAACTGTTTATAGTTCGTATTTTGTTTATTCAGTCAAAGCAACATCCTATCTACTCATAATGGAATAGATCAACCTGAAACGTATCAAAACTTCTTATTAGAACACTGAGATTGATTAATTTCCCTACTATACATCGGTGATGAACAAGGCAGTTAACTGGTGGATGATAACTAGCAGTGGAATCCAGGATACGCATTTCTTCCCATTTGGGACTCGTCAACTGGATGTACCTGCATTCCCCAGGGAGTCAGTGATGATGTTCCCACTGAGGCTCAAACCCAGTGCCTATAGTTCCAAGCGCCAAAGCGTTATCCACTATACCACTAGGGCCACAAGAGCCACCTCTTGTGCAACGGGTCATCTTAATTATTTAATTCAGGGGAGTGCTTGCTACATAATTAATTTTTTTTCCCAAGCCAATATATTCCGCGCCTAATTTATTTTGTCTTACATTTTTATTCTACTTATAAGTAGGATGTGTAAGAACGTAAACATTTTTATGTACTTAATACTGACCAGTTGACACACGTATATATTTCAATTTTGCTAGCGTTGTATGTCGTGAATTTTCATAAGTTCTTACTAACAATCCATTGGATTCCATCTTAGTTGCTGAATGGCCAACTGGTTCACCTCGTGACCTAAAGGTTTTTGATTAAATTCTCGGTGTAACCACCAGGGTAGTGGATGCGGATTATTGAAGAGTCCCAGTGGTCCTCTGACCGATATTATTCCGTGATCAAGTGTGAAACAAAATAAAACCAAGCTGAAACCAAAGTATTAGACATGTGTATAAGACAAATTTTCGCAACCTAATTAATCACTACAGAGAGGAAAGACACGAGTTAATTATTAAGATGACAGATCAAGCACTGTTAAACCGATCAAGGAAACAAAACGAAAATATAATTCGATATAATTTACTAAGGATAAAGAGGTGTGATTAGACTTATATGGGGGTAGGAGAGTTCGATCTCACAGACAGCGGCTAAATTACATTAAACGTGGTAATGTAACAGCAGAACACGATACTATTTGGTTATTGGAATAGCTATTTACAAAAATGATGAATACTTGCGATAACAGCAGAACTTATCTTACAGTGAAGTTACCGTTCGTACATGTTCACTGTAATGTGCTACTTTTTATGTCTTCCTCCTTTCACATCTCCTCTTCGCCGTTTAATCCATCGCTCTGTTGTTCAGTATATCTGCAAAAGACACCACATGTAATATACTACTAATAAGACCTGTCAGCAGCTCATAGCACAGTAAGATAACTCGATGATACAATGGTTTAATAGCACAGGACACATTATTAAATAAGACTGTAATATATTTGTGATAAATGTAGGAAAGGGGGATTAGTGTTTAATGATGATAAGGGAATAAGTGAAGCAATACATGAGGGATCATATGATCTTTTTGTCCGCATAAGTTTGGCTTGAAATCGTTAGATGGTTGCTCCTCATGCACGCAATAGTACTTTACTGTTACGCTAATGTTAAATGGCTGAGATTGGAATTTCAGACGGGCATTTTGTTCTATACTGGGTATCAGTCAATGAAGTCGCTCACTGTTTGTTTAGGTGTGTAGACTGTAAGAATCAATGGCTGGAGACTGCTGGTGATGAAATGGCCTAACACAGTTTTGATAATTCCATATTAGTTTGTTTATAAGATATATCACACAGTGAAGAAACAGTATTATTTAGTCAATGACAAGGTTTCCAACACAATTCGTTCTTGTTCATAATCATATCGTCAATTATAATCACACGATTTCGAAACTTGAGTTTTATAGTTTTCTTTGTTCTCTCCTATTTGCTGTCGTAGGGGTAGTAGAATTTTCCAGATATCTGGGACAGGTGGTGAATCATTCCTACTACACGTTTCCGTCATCAATCTTTCTCTCCACTCTGTGACATTAGATTTTAAAACTGTCACCTTATCCCATCTTATTGTATGCTTGTGTGTAAGCGCGTGTGGTGAATGCTCTAGCTGAACTATTCACCGTATTTTCTACCTTCTTAAGGTCAACTAATCTAGATTTTGCTAGGTTTTTTTGCTCCACTAGTCTGACTGACCCCGTTCTACTACCCTGACCTGTGTATTTGACCTGATAATCAATCCAGAAAGGTATTAGATAAACTAAATTGATTTGTTTTATTGGCTCCACAGGATCCTTTAACAGACAAAGATTGTTTCTAATTGAGTTTGTGGGTTTGAATGCCACTTTTATTCAGCTACAGCACTCGCTACATGCGATTACACACAACCATACAACAGGGTATGATGGGATAAGATAACAGTTTTAAAATCTAATGTAACAGGGTGGAGAGAAAGATTGATCACGGAAACGTTATTCATCGAGTCAACTGTAAACACGTGTAGTAGGAATGATTCACCACCTGTCCCAGATATCAGGAAAATTCTACTACCCCTACGACAGCAAATAGGAGAGAACAAAGAAAACTATGAAACTCAAGTTTCGAAGTCGTGTTATTATAATTGACGATATGATTATGAACAAGAACGAATTGTGTTGGAAACCTTGTCATTGACTAAATAATACTGTTTCTTCTTCACTAAACCTATCAAACCGCTAGAGGAACTTCAACACACAGAAAATATATTAAAAATATAAGAACTTCAAACAAAAATCTTATTCTTCGCTCGAATCGGAGAGGCTAAATGACGCTGGATAGTCAAAGCCGGCCTTCGGAAAGTCAACCAGTCAATGTGTCTTCTCTCGATGAAAGCAACAGTGAGGATGGGTACGTGGAATGTCCGTACAGTGTACAAGACTGGGAAGGCTGCCCAGGTAGCCAAAGACATGCGAAGAAATGGAAGAGAAGTGCTAAGAATCTGCGAGAGGAGATGGAATGGATGTGGATTGAAAACATTGTCAACGGGAAAGTCAGTAATCTACTCCGGTAACTCAGACGACAACCACGAACACACTCAGGCAGTGATTGGCTATTATGATATCACCAGTGAGAGCCAAAGCCCTAATGCAGTGGGAACCAATTTCATCTGGGATCATGACAGAAGGATTCAACTCAAAAGGAAGTAAGGAAGATCACAATTATCCAAAGCTACGAACAATGCTACAAACAACGCGGAACAAGGGAAGATGGAAGATTTTTATACACAACTACAAACAGTAATGAAGAATATTCCAAATGGAGACATCAAAATGCTAATGGGCGTTTTGAATGCAAATCAAACTGAAAGCGGATAATACAGGAAGAGAACTCATCGTGGGCCGAGAGGCTCTCGAAAAAAAAATGAAAAAGGAGAACTCTTCGCCTTCAGTGATTTAGTGATCGGAGGCAGTATGTAAAAGCACAAGGATATACAGAAAGAAACATAGATATAGCCTGACGGACACACGCAAATCAGATAGATTTCATCTAAATTCTGCTAAGAAATTGGAGGTGCAGCTGGCTGGACACAAAGTTGAGAAGGGCAGCAGAAGTGGGCTCAGATCATCATTTAGTTCGAGGAACCTTCAAGGTGAAGCTCAAACCCTTCAGAACAACTGGAACAGACCACAACTCAAGTTCAACATTCAGAAACTGAAGGACAAAACTACAAGGGATGCCTTCAATACAGATCAGGTCAGGGCATAGTCGGAGACACTACATGGCATCACTGAGGAAACCTGTGTGGAAGAACACTGGAACTAACTCTCTGAAGATGATGTTCAAGGAAACGTGTACAACTGTTCTAAAAAGAAAGAAGAGACACGACAAGGAATGGCTCTCAACGGACACCCACCTGGGAGCTAATAGCAGAGAGGAGAGGAGGATGGTGAAAGAGAAGATGACTCAATGCAAAGATGCACAACAGAAGAGAAGGAAAAGCTGAGTTAAATGTGCACTGCAGTGAATGAAGAAAGACGTGAAGAAGAGTGCTAGGAAAGACAAAAGACAATTCTACAACACACTGGCCGGCAACTGAAGCAGAAGGGTGCAGGTAAAAGATACATCAAAACACTATATCAAATAACTAAGTCTCTAACCGGGAAGAGATCAACCCAGATGATGAAACCAATAAAAGATGTTCAAGTGAACCTGATTACCAAGGAGGAGCAACAAATCAAACAATGGGCTGATCACTTTAAAGGACTTTTGAATCAATCACCACCTGCAACTCGCCCAAAAATACCACCAACAGCACACATGGAAATGCCAGTGGACACCACTCCTCCAACGAAAGAAGAAATCTCGAATGCGATCAAGCTACTGAAGTCCAGGAAGGCAGCTGAACCAGACGGAATTCCTCCCAATCCGAAGCACTGAAGACGGCCCCAGAGATTACAGCAGATATCCTCACTCCATTACTGCAAAATGTTTGGAAAGAAGGAAAGTTGCCTACTGATTGGAAGAAGGGCTACCTCGTCAAACTCGACGAGTAGGTCGTCCTAGGGTGACATGAAGGAGATCGCGTGAGGAAGAGATGAGAAGAGAGTTTGGTCAATCGTGGACCCAAATGAAGAGGACGTCAGAAAACAGAACAAAGTGGAGATGTGTTGTTGAAGCCCTATGTACCACTCGGAACGCAAGGGAATAATAATAATATATAATACAGTGCCCAAGTTTTACACATATATTAATAACTTTGACAATTTAATCACAGTTAATAAATGATGAAATTCTCTGATTGGTTAAATTTAAAGATCACGTGATAACTAAAAGTCGAAACACTAAATAAAAAAATTGATTGGTAGATAGACAGACAGCTTACTTCACTAGATTACACATACAGTTTTGATAATAATATTGCAATGAAAATAATGGATAACTGATGTTATCATGAAACGACAGATATTACAATCAGAAGATTACTTATATACTACTATCATCAACACTAATAATAGTAGTAATAATAATAATAGTAGTGAAGACGAATATGACAAAAATGTCAATGAAGTAGGTAAAGTTGAATATTGTTATTATAATCTCTTTTCTAAATCCCCTTGCCGTATTTACACCAGTCAAAATGATGTTTACAAAAAATCTACACCAAAGTATACACCGCCTACTGTCAATATTTCGTCCAGTGAGGATCAAATGAATTCAATCAGTCGTTTGAATGAATCAAATTCCAGTATGAATAAACAATTTCAAGGTAAAAACCAAAATCAGTTAAACTTTCAAATAACCACTAATAATAACAATACGGGTAAATTAGATTCCGTACCGTCTTCAGATTTAGTCAGTGTAACTGACCAACAATTTAATGATTCCGTTCTATCCTTATCATCACCATCGCCTAGATTCCCTGATATGATAAACTCGGGTGATAATAAAACGCAGTTCAGCAATGATTATCCAGTTAACAATTTTACCAATAAATTAGAATTAATTCAAAAGTTGAAAACTGAAATCTCCCACTTAAAACAAGCAAATTTACATTTAGCTATAGAAATTGATCACCTTGACTATGAATCAAAAACACTACAGTTTCATTTAAACAATCAAGGCGAAAAGAATAATCAATTGATTAAAGAGAATATGGAGTATATTTTACGTGTTACAGAAAATCAAAGTTTACAACAAACTGTCGACAAAATGAAACAACAGTTGAATGAACTAATGCATAGAATTAATACTTTACGCTATGAAAGACGTGAATTCCGAGCGGAATGTGTACGCAGTGAATATGAAACTCGTCAGTTGGTTGAAGAAATCTCCCGACTAGAATTAAATCGGAATAAAAATCTTGAACAGTTAGAATATTTACGTTGTAAAATAGAACAAATGGAAATATTTCAAGAAGATATGCTGAAACATAAACACTGGATGAAAACATGGCAAGAGATATCAGGTATCATGAAAGTGATTGTACGAATTAAGTCGTCTCTAACCTCACCTGCAACAACAGGAGAATATCAAACTGCAGATACAATCTCAAAATTCCCTGTTGAAACTGGTTGTCTAGTAATTACTAATCATGATAAATTAAACATTTATGCAAATCGAAAGTATAAAGCCTCATCAACTGAAATGTGTACATTTGAATTTAATAAGATTCTTCTACCGAATACATCTCAGTGTGAAGTATACTTTACTGTATCAAGTCAAATTCATCGTCTGTTAGATGGATACAATGTGACATTATTATGCTATGGAGTTTGTGGTAGTGGTAAAACGCACACATGTTGTGGTACACCTAATGATCCTGGAATAGCCTCATTCGCTGTGAATGAATTAATCACATTGGCTAAAAATAGAAGTATGCATCAGATGCGTATTTATGCTTCATTTATAGAAATCTATAATGAACACATTTATTGTATGCTATCGAAACAACCAATCAGTTTAAAAGATACTGGTGATATGATTCACATAGAAGGCCAAATTGAACAATGCATTCAAAGTATACATGACTTTAATACACTATTATTTCAAATTATTTCAGAACGAAAGAAATTACTGACACAATCATCAAATTATTATAGTTCACGATCACACTTTTTTATATTTATTAAACTTGTCTTAGAGAAATGCAAAAATCAAATAACTTCAGAATATTTAAGTACTTTAATTATAGGTGATTTAGCAAACTATACACTTTCAAATTTTAAAATTCCCTCCTCTGGCAATAATAATAATAACAACAATACTTTAATTAAACAAGAAAATTATCACATTCAAAAATCACTTGTAATGTTAACAAATATTTTACATGGATTACGTAAACAAAATTCATTCAATGTGTACCGTGGTTCAAAATTAACAGAGTTGTTAAAGCCTTGTTTTAATGGTGATTCATATTTGACCTTGATTTTAAATATCACTGATAATCCAGCTGAGGCATACTTTACAAATGCTGTTTTAGAAGTTGGTAAATCACTAATGTGTGCTAATTTAAGCCGACCAATAAAGCATAATAAAGCTATTTAGAATATTAGAAAAAAAGTGGCCTGATTATTGCATTATAAATGATGTCGGCGATGAGAAATTTTCATTTTAAAATAATAATAATCTGGTGAGGAATTTGTATATTTCTATTTTTAGAAAAGAAAAAGAAAACTAACCACACACACACTTGAAATCTAGAAGGTTGAAACAAACGATATTATATATATATGAATTACAGAATTTCAATAAAAAAGTGAGAACATTTTAACTTACGTTTTGACTACTGAAAAATGACTTAAGTAGTCTCGTTTTGTTCACAAAAGTTTCTCATAAGGAATAAAAAAATATTAATTTGATGTGAACAGAGAGTAAGAATTTATTTTCTTATTATTGCTACAAATATTAGAATTCATCCCTTTCATTCTAAGTGGAGCATAGGTCTGCTAAATTGATACTGAACATACCCTATTTGTCATAGTTGAACGGTAACCATGTTTGTAAAGCGAAAGAATAAGCTAAATGACGTCACAGTGATGTAGTGCGCTTATGATCATTACATTACCTCATTCACAGTACATTGTCACCTCCTGTTGTTGTGAATTTTAAGAAGCTGTGCCTTCCGGGAACAGAACTCAGAACGCCCAAGTGGCAGGTGAGCACTTTACCACTGAACCACCTACACAAAACTTCACCCCAACACCAAATCACGAGCTGGCCTAATTGTATAAGAAGATTGAAGTACGTTGCTGCACTACAATTCCTATCACAACTTCACAGAGCACTAACCTTAACGATCAATATACCACTCACCATATATACATCACTGGACTGTTTTCATATTAACTGCTCTCCAGCGAACATGCACTATCCTGTGAGTTAGCCGACAGAGAGAAGTCCCCAATGATCGTTACAGACTGCTACACGTCTACCATAATTCTTCAGTCGGTCAGTCTTTTACTCTGTGTGTATTAAACTAGTCGGTAAGGTGATCAAGTGAGCAGACAGATATATAGAGGTAGGGCTGGAGAGAAGTGGAGTCATCACACTACTGGTCCATAATCCTCAGCATTCAGAATTACATTCTCCATGATCTTCAGTGACAATAATGATAGCTATATAGAAACACTGTTGGACACAGAGAAAGAGAAAGAGGATTTGTGTGCTGACATACGCTTCACTCTATCTCCCTATGACGTGGGTAGATTCACACCCGCTTCTGACAAGCTGATACCAACATTTTGAAACAAGCAAATATCATGTCATGTCGTCTCCTAATCAACATTACAGATGACACATATCAATTCACTGTCCCGTCATTCAGCTGAGATTCTGATCGACTTGAAGATTTTTTGATGCTTTGGCAGTTATCTGAAGCAGACAAATAAACCCACCCTCATGTACCAGATTGATATCAAGGTGGTTCTATTGCTTCAGTTCAATGTTGACTTGATGCAAGTCCTTGAATCATCATCTAGTCACTGACAGACTGGAGACGAAGGTGAACACCAAATGGACATTATAAAGGATGTGCATTTTTGGCAGTCTTGAAGCATACACGTGTCAAAAATAATTCATAATTTTGTGTTGTTTCGGATTCCCTACGGTAAAACACACACTGATACACGTGTTGAAGACTGCCAGAATTGATTGTACCGCTGACAGTCCTCCTTTTAAATCACGAAAAATACCCATTTATTCATAAGTAAAAACACAGTTTTTTTCTTTTCAACGACTTCATTTTCAAGCTGTACAGTCATATTCATATTACAGAAAAGGCTATTAAGTGGCACTAAATAATTGCTCAGTCAATATAGATACGTATACATATATGTGATAAGAATAACGATAATTAAAATGTTATAAGGGGTAGAGTTGAAGTGGATAAATTACAGAATTATTAAAGATTGTTTTATAAGTGAATTGAAATCAAAAATGTTTTAAAAATGTCAAGTGTTGTCTAAAAATTTTAAAAAATTAGGAGTACGATTACGATAAGAATGAAGATGTGAAGTGAAGTGGAAAGAATTCAAGTGGTAAAATAAAATAAAGTAAAAACTAGAAAGAACATTACTATTATTAAGGTAAAGAAAGGGGTTTAACAAAACGTTTTTGAACACATTATTTAGGTTTCTGTTCATGTATAGCTAAAGCTTTGGCTATGCATAAGTGAAGAAAACGTAAGCTTTTGGATCGATTCGATTTTGCCATGTAGATAACTTTGAAAGATGAATCACGTGGGGCTAAATGACATGCCTCTAACAGGTGATCACAGATAGACGACTTCGCAATTCTACGTTCGCCTTTCATTAACCAGACTGGATAGTGTTCAGCTACACGTTTTCGGAGATTACGCTTACAACGTCCAATATAAACAGCTCCACAAGAGCAGGTAAAAGAGTAAATACACATGGATGTGGACAAAAGCGGTAATCTATCCTTGACGCATTGTCTGATCATATTTCGGCTGGTAAAAACTAGTTGCAAGTCAGCTGCAGTCCTCCTTTTCATGTTATCTCTCCACGTGCCTCCACGGACAATGACAGACAATCTTGTCAGAGTGTATTCAGACGGATATGTGCTTTGTACTGTCTCCAGTGTCACATGTAATGCTAATAGTATGAATGCGATCATGAACAAATCAAGAGTAGTAATCTGGATTGCCATAATGTCGTCTATTACACTGATCAGTTTGAAGGCGAAATTTCTACTCCTCTTTTTATCATGACGTTGGGATGTGGTGTCGTCATTTTTAAGTTGTTGGTTTGCTGATTACTGTTGAAAGCTGACTTTATTATTTTGTCACAGAGATGAGCGCATATATTTACATCGTCTTACGTTTCTTCGGATTTATTGTGTGGTTATATATGTTGAATTTGCTGACGGGCGATTCAGGATACTACTTAATGCCTAACCATGTAATTACAAATTTTTGAAAAATGGACAATGTATTCTAGTTACTCGCTTTTGTACATGTGGATTCTGCTGAGCTTTCAGGACTAATTGACAGCTGTCTCTCCTTTAGAATTTGATCATCGCAGTTCATGAACAGATTCCAATGTGTCCTACAGATTATATATATATATATATATATATATATATATGATTAATTAACCTGATTTATACTGACGAGGATATCAAAGCGATGATCAGGAAACAACGTTAGCTTTCATTTCCCTCAAGTCTGTGTGGAGGTCAACAGCACACAGCATGAAAAATAAAATGCGGATTTTCAACTCCAATGTGAAGTCAGTGCCACTATACAGATCAGAGACTTGGCGCCGCCTCACGAAGGGCACTTCGAACAAACTACAGGCTTTCATCAGCAGCTATCTTCGCTCAATACTACTCAAGATCAGATGGCCGGTCAGAAAAGATCAACAACAGGAATCTCTGGCAATGAACGAAACAACCTAGCAGGAACCGGATGTGCAAGAAATATGAAAGAAGAAATGGAGTTGGATTGGTGACCATACTCTGAGAAAAAAAACCATCAAGTGACATCACAAGACAGGCCATCGCTCGAGTGGAATCTGAATGGGAAGCGGCGAGTTGATCGTCAGTGCGAGGGTGACATGGAGGATGTCATGTGAAGAGAGGGTGAAAGCATGTGTGCAGACGTGTAGCCAGGTGAAAATGTTGGCAGAGAAATGAACGCAATGGAAACGTGCGGCTGAAGCCCTATGTTCCTCTAGGAATTAAAGAAAACGTACATGTACCACTTTACGTGTTGATCAGCTTTAGAAACGAGAAAATTCCAAGGACAATATGTATAAATTAGTTTAATTTTGACTTTCAACAAATGTTTCCACATATCTTCCCAGCCTATATATAATCTTACATAAATGTATCACAATCACTTAGTTATATACACTTACAATTTACTCAGAAACATTGCCTCACCTTTAATTAGGACGAAGTTCATTATCTGAATAAAGACACATCATCTATAGAATCTAATTACAATTCTACAACTACATAAACACCTCCCTTTATAAATTTCAGCAGAGAAATAGCAAAGACAATAACATGGATCCATTGCTGTTTGGTGGTTCTTCTTATCAGTTTCATACCCCTTGAAACAAGTTATAATAAAATTCTAATATTTTGATCGGACACTAGTTAGTAGTAAGTAGTTAAATGTGTGTGTGTCTTGTCCTTTATTTGTTTGCTGCAGACTGACGCATTGATGGATGAGCTTCCATATATACATTCAGTTTTATTAGCTAACGGTTATCCAGAAAACTTTATCAATTGTCACAGTAAGGATAGGCCTCATCTAGAAAAGACAGCTTCTGTATCAAAGAAAGCTATCTTTATTGACCTACCATTCAAAGGTGATCAGATTATGCAGTTGACAGCTAGCTCAAAGACTTCGGTCAGCCATCAAACGCACATTCTACGCCTCATCTCTTTTCCTCACATGCCGAACACTTTCGATCCCTGCACCTACGATTAAAGGACGAAATTCTGTGGACTCTACTTCAAACTGTATCTAACAAGTTCACCTGCAGTTGCGGTGACACCTATCTAGGTAGAACCAATAGAATGTTCCAATGTCGTCGGAAAGAACATTTTCCTAAATGGTTATAAGATGATATTAATCTGAATAGAAATCCAGCATCATCCAAAGCAAAGCGCTTATTAATGTCAGGTCAAAAAATCAATATTAATGACTGTTTCACAATTATTTCACATAACTCTAATTCAAGGTTATTGAAGGTGATGGAAGCACTTTAGATTAATCACATACAGCCTAAACTATGTGTACAAAAAACAACAGACTTCAATCTTCGCTTACCATGGACTACTTGACCTATTTAAATATGACTGGTCATTAGTATGTACTTCTTTACTTTATATATAACTGAGTAATTATCAAGAACTTCATTTTATTATTGTTAACCATGTTAGTTGTAAAGCGATTGTAAAGAAACTACGAATTGATATCATCTCGCGAAATTTGTCTTCTAAATGACTTATTTTAAGAATACCTAGAAGCTAATAGCAGAGAGGAGAGGAGGATGGTGAAAGAGAAGATGACTCAATGCAAAGATAGGCAACAGAAGGAGAAGCGAAGTTCAATGTACACTGCACTGAATGAAGAAGTGAAGAAGAGTGCTAGGAAAGACAATTCTACGACACACTGGCCAGCAACTGAAGCAAAACAGACCTCAGAACATTATAACAAATAACTAGGTCTCTATCTGGGTAATG